GNNNNGGCGTGGACAAACAATGGGCAAAGGTATTATGAAGGCATTTCAGGCTAGTGGTAAAAAAATGAAGATAACTGTGGATCCATCGATAGGAAGACCTAAAAGGAGAGACGAGTCTTCAAAATTTTCTAGTCAAATTGGTGTAGTCACTCGAGATGTCCTTCCGGTGCCAATAAGGTGGAAAGATGTTGATGAAGAAAAAGATCTTCAACCTGCCATTGATCATATGAAGGTAAAAATTAGAAACACTTTTCAAGTTGCATGAATGCATTTTTATATCACCTTAAATGATCTCATTTTTATTTGTGTAGATCCACATGGATATTAACTTGGATGATCCGGGTGTGAAACGTTGCGTGATTGATAGAGTCCAAGCTAGTTCACGGCAAAAACGTTACAGACTACACCAACATTATAAGAAATATTCCTCTCATGAAGAAGCAAAGAAGAACAAGCCGTCTTTTTGTGCTAGTCAACAAAATTGGGAAGAAATGTGTGAGCTTTTTGCATCGCCTAAATTCCGGGTAATGAATTATAACATTATTCTTCTATTTGCATATTAAATTTGTAGTTTTCATATTTTTAGTTTTCTAGTGTTCAATAATAGTATTTATGTTTTGACAGCACCAAAGTTTGATTAATGGGATGAATCGACAAATGTTGTGCGCTCCACATGTTTCGGGCCGAACACCTTTTACTGTTCTTCAACATGAAATAGTAAGTTTATGTTCAAGATATTAATTTATTTATGATCATTAGTTTTTTTTTTTTTTTGAATTTAAACTATTTATGTTTATTGTTAAAAAAATCTTGTAGTCTGAGAAGGAGATGAATGGAGGACCACTAGATATGATTGAACTTTATAAGCGTACGCATTATAAGGAAAAAGGTGGTTGGTCAACAAAAGAGGCAGAAGAAAACTGGGTAAGTTGCATTCACAATCTCTTATTCTAATTGGTGAAATGAATATCAATATGATTATATAGTTTTAATTCCATTTGTCAGGACTTGATGATATCAAGGAGAGAAAAATATTCCGAACAAGGCACTGAGAAGAGTGCACAAGATATACTTCTTGAGGTTCTTGGCCATGGAGCTGGATATATAAAGGGTTATGGGTATGGCCCGAGGCCGCCAAGTAGACGCAAAGCATATGACTCGAACGGCCAGAAAGAACTTCTAGAGACACAAGAAAAGCTGCGTGGAAAAGAATCTGAAGTGCTTGAGCTTAAGGACCAAGTTAGTGATTTGAAAGATCAACTAAGTCAACAAGGTGCAAAAGTCGACAAACTTATGGCTTTCATGGCTGCCACTGGGATCCAAATATGAGATTGTTAGGCTTTGTTATTATTATTATTATTTTATTTGGAACATTTTGAGATTGTTATTTGGTTTATTTATGTTTTTAATTAGTAAAATTACTATTATTGTCGTTTTTTTATTTATCATCTAGAAGATATTATCATCATATATTAATTATAATGATTTTGTCACTGTAATTTTTTTTTAATGACGTAATTGTTTAGAGTGACGATAGATTTTGTCACTGTATCATATATTCCATGACATAAATATATCACTAAATATCTGCAATTAATGACAATTATTATATTTGTAATAGTGACAAATTTTAAATTGTCATTGAAAATAATCTTTTTTTGACAACATGTAGTCGTGATGTGTTTGTTTGGATTTGTCACCATATAAAATGTTACAATGACAATAATTTTTGTCACTAAATATTTACTTTTTCATGACAACTTATGTTGTCATTATATCTCAAGCTTTTGATGACAATCATTTTTTTCGTAATCATAAAACTAATATTTCATGACAAAAGATTTTGTCGCTTTTATATGTTTTTGGAGACGAATAATATTTCGTCACTACTTCTATTTTTTTGTGACACTTTTGTTATCGTCATATTTAAAATTTCTTTTTATGACGACCAATATTTTGTAATTATAGAACTACTTTTTGATGACGAATTCTATGAAATATGACAATAATTTTAACGAAAACGCCACAAATATATTCGTCATTGAAATTTTATAAGTTCGATAAAAAAATAAATTTCGTCACTAAACAATAATATTTAGACGACGAATGTAAGTTTTCGTCATTTAAAACTTGTCTTTTTATGACAAAAAAGGCGTTTATATGACAAATTTTTCATATTAAACGTGACGAAATTATTGTCACGAAAAGTGACCAAATAACATGATGAAACTTACAAATGTCATTAAAAGTGAAACATTTTGTGACAAATTCAAAATTTGTCACCTATACCTAATATGACGCGGCTACGGTGACGATCGTTGTGACGATAAAATTTCGTCATCATTGTACTTTTGTGACGAAAAACAAGACTTACATGACGAATTTTTTCGTCATGTTTTGCGAAATTTCTTGTAGTGGATGTAACCCTCAGATCTTGTCGCTCACATCGATTAGGGTATCCTTCCTCCGCTGGTTGGTATACTACTTCTGTAGATCTTGGGCGATCTTTGCAATCCTCTCGTCGGTCTTCTTGGTCAACTCCAGAACGAAAATCTTCCGTTCACCAACTTTCACTACGCTACTTTGATGTTTGGTTTCAGTGGGTATTCTATTGGGAGACCTAGCTCACCGCAGCACGCACGGGAATATTTGGAACATTACGCATTACAACGATTAACCGGGCAACTGCGGCATGACCTGCGATGACACAACACGCAGAAACATGACACACGATGTGCGGCACGCTACGCATGGGACACCAGCGACTCGAGGTGCACCATCGGACGCGGGACGCCTATGCTTGGCACCTACGCGTAATACGCCGCATCACCAGCATCCAGTAACTATGACTCATACCTACGTCACCTACTACGTCTGCGATTGCGCAGCCGAAGACCAGCACTCTCGGGTGAGCTGCGACTCGAGTCTAGTTTTGCCAACAACTAATTACATCACAACTCAGTAGGGGTACTTATAGTCATCTTAAGTTGATTGAGATCCTCATCGAGCAATCCTCCTACTTTATGAATGGAACTGGCGAATCCTCACGACAACGCACTAGGTAGGTGAACCGACACGCTTCAACTTCTGGGTCTAGGTCTTGAGTTCTACTATTTCTTTGGCTCCTCTTGACAAGATGCTCTGGATACCAGTCATGCTCCTTATACCAAGTCGGTTGCGAACTCCCACTGAGTTGTCGTGAGCGTTGTCGTCTTAAGATGACGGTCCTCTTAATGCTCCTTATACCGTCATCTTAAGACGACTTCTTCTTAATGCTCCCGACAATTGTTCACCGAAATCTTTGCGGTCTCTCTTCTTTAAGCTTTTCTTCATTGTCGAGATTACTCGTGGCAGGGTCTCTTTCTTAACTCCATAGAAGGTGATCTTCTCATCTGTAACGCTCGCTTACTTATTTTTTAGAAAAACTCTAGTTTTCGAAAATAATTTGGAACTTTTAAAAAATATATTTTTCCAAAAACATTCCCTTCGGGCAATACTCAAAAATCTTTTTCCCTTCCAACATTTGAGATAAAATGGAAACATCCAAAACATGTAGAGTCTCAATCATTAAAAACATACTTTCAAAACATTAAAAACCCAAATACACAAGAAGTTTCAAAACAAGTTTGAGTAAACGTAAATGCAACTAAGAATAGCCATTTCCGTCCTCTTGTATCTGTCGCCAGCTGCTTATCTTTGATTTTGATCTGCTTCGGCTTGAGCTTGGGCGAAAACACAAGCTTTGCCTCTAGGATTCAGCCTCTGTTAACCTTGCTGTTGTTGGTTCTGCTGTTGTGCACGCTCCAGAATTTAATAGGGCCGATGCCCTGGCCTCATGCAATGATAGCAAAAGTCCTGCCCTACCAAGCATGCTCCTCTATGCGTCCGGCCACAATTGACGTAAGTTGGATGTCCGTCCTGTTGGGATATATTATAACACTAACACGTCCGCCACTTGTTGGAGGGGCTGCACTGCTTGACGGGGCGGTCTATCATCCTGCTGGCCTCCCTATCTTTTCTTGTTCCCTCGCTGGTCTCAATAGCGGTCTGCCTTCCTCTTTCTCGCACTCGTAGTTGTCTGGAAGACGAAAGTAGCTTCTAGTCGAATGGCTGCAGACTCCATGCTATGGCTTGATTCGATCTGCTGGGCCGGATCAACAATTTCCACATAAGTCACAGTGTCATGGTCGGCTACCACATGTCTGATGTCTGCACAGAGTCTAGTACAGAATCGGCTAGCCCTTTTTTTTCTGGATCGAAAAGGTGCTCCAGCAAATGGCTCATGCAGGTGAACTCCCGCTCGTACTCATCACGATCCACTCACTTTGGCGGAGATCCCAGAATTCCCGTTCCATACGCTTACAATGACGTGAATCGTACATTGCTGAGATAAGGGCCCTGAATCCATCCCAAGTCAAGGCTTCCCGTTCCTTCACTGACCTTAGCTGCCAGTGGGTAGACCACCAGTGACCTGCATCCCCCTCGAGCTAAAACTGAGCACAAAGGATCTTTCACTCCTCTGTGCAGCCAAAGACCTCGAATATTCGCTCCAGTCGCAAGAGCCTCTTGTCTACTGTTGCAGGTCCGTCCCGATCGGTGAAAATTGAGGAATGCAAGTGTAACGCCCCACTTTATTTTAAAAGGTTTACCGTTTTTATTTAATAAAAATCACAATAAATTTTTCGCAAATCTCAATTTAATTAAAAACTTAGTGGGCGCTACTTATTTAACCAAAAACTTTTATCCGAAAATGCCAAAATATCAGATACAGACAGCATGCACGAATAATAAGTCATAACCAAACTAACATTCATTAAGTTCCAAATCATAAAGATTCATAACTCCAAGTTCAAAACGACATAATCAAAATATCTCAACATGAGTTCCTTAAATGAGCGGAAGCAAATAAATAAGCAATAAATAAAAGCATGACCACCACCCGTCTTGTCTCGTCACCTGCCGACTGCTTAACCTGCATCAGTTACGAGCAGGTGGGAGTGAGTACAGTTAACTATCGTACTCACGCTATGCATATGAATAACATATATTGGTATGGTCGCAGCACGAACATAAACAATAATCACATCATGTCTCATCTCCTATTCAATATCACACCATTTAACCTTACTCCTGTGCACATCTATCGCTAGCCGCAAAACGGGGATTCATTACCCGAAGGCGGGAGTACGTGCCATTGTAACGAACACGGCCTTCCATATGGGCTTACGTACCTCACAAGGGTACGGCCATATCAGGACTTAAAGGAGATTGCCACACAAGGGCACCGTACCGTAACTCGACGGGGACAACCGTACCGACGGCCGTAACAGCTCACATCAATAGGCTACATGTTCACATGCATACATAGATCATACCAAATTTTCCACACAATTAAATCACACATATGCATAGATAATTTTAGAATAACAACCCACCTGGATTCTGGATTGATAATAACTCAAAGCAATGGGAGTAGGTCCAGGCTGGACTCCTCAATTACCTACATTGAGTCAAGATGCTACAATCAACATGTATCTTGACTTTAAACGGAAAACACAAAACAGACCTAGTCGAACTTGTTTCGACTAAGTAGTTCGTGAAGTCCTGTGGATGTTGGAATACTAAGACTCGGCTCTAAACTTGAGCAAACAACATAAGGGAGTTTACACAAATCCATCTAAGAATTGACCAAGTCAACTCACATAAAAAACGAAAAGCAAGTTGTTTCCCAAAATTTCATATAAAAATCATGTTCGGAAATAGAAATCATTTAATCGCATGAAAATAGATGGTCAAGCTACCCTACAAGTTAAGCTCTGAAAATTTACACAAAATTTCATCTCCCAGAAACATGTAAAACCACAAAGTTTCAGCTTTAAACTCGAAATATCCTATTTTATAAAATTCGAACAAGATATCAGCAAAATGGGAACATTAATTCATACTCAGACTTAATGAATGAATCCGAACTTGAAAATTTTACACAGCAACATACAGTATGCTAAAGTTCATGTATAAAAATCTCAGCCTTAAATGATAATTGCTGCTATTTTTAAAAATTCATACGAGCAACAGAAGTTTATCGTATTTAAATCAAAACTGAATTAAAACGGACTCCAAAAATTCCCATCGTTCACAAACATGATCAAACACATAAAATAGGCTTCTCAGTAAAATTTCAGAATTTTTCATGCAGTAACCAATTTATAAAAATTCAAACAACGTTTCTGCAGATTTGATAAATTAAATATTTACCACATCAAATCAACTCAAAAAATTCTAAACCTTTAACACAACATATATAAGTCACATAGACATGACATATTCGAATTTCAGCTCATTTCAGTCAGGCATGAAAGTTTTATGCATTTAACATTATTCTGGACAGATTACAATTTAATTATTACAAATAGCTACAGGCCTCCAAAAATTACGAAATTTTTACACAAGGCAGGAAATGAGCAGATAACAGATCCATCAAAATTTCACATTGTTTCGAGTAGCGAGCTATTTTTAAAAATTTGAACACCGAAACAGCAATTTACAAACTCGACAACTTGGCAATTAAATCACAACATAAAATTTCTCGTCCGAGGCCTTTTCATAAGACCAAGGACTCGACATTGTTCCATTATCCACTGACTTACACGATTTTTGAGGTCTCGTTCGATTTTTGAGAAAATCGAAGAGATCCCAAACATACGAACACAAAAAAAAATCATCACAATGTATAGTCGCACAAATTCACATCAATAATCAACGAGCACTTCACGACAATAAACACCCAACGAAATAAATCATATACGAGTTAAACGAGATGGAAAAACGACGAGGTACCGTTCTCGGGAATAACTCGAAAAAAGCGTCACGAATGCGAACGGGCTCGACGGAGGCTCGACGGGGCTCGACGGCTTTGCGCGGCTCACCGAGAAGAGAGCTGCGGTGGTCCTCCACAATTGCGGGGTTGCAGCGATGGCCGAGACGTCCCGTCGGAGGTGGTGCTGCGGAGGAGAAGAGCTCGCCGGGAAAAGGGGTTCGCCGGAAGGGGCCGTGACGGGCTTGCTGGCGAAGGAGATGCTAACGGCTGCCAGCTACGTCGTAGGCGGAGGAGGGGCTCGCGAACAGCGGCTCGCGGAAGAGGTCCTGCATGCAGTGGAGAGAACTTGCCGGAAGGAGCTTCGTGGACGGGGAAAAAGGGAGCGGCGATGGCTGGCTCGCCGGACTACAACAGTTGATTCACGGCGTAAGGAGACTTGCAGGCGAAAGCGAAGCGGCTGAGACAGCGGCTCAGGGTCGTCCTTACCGTGATGGTCGACGGGAGTTACACGGGCAGAGGGTTGCCGGACTGCTCGTGGTGGTAGGGGGCGCGGCCTGCTCACGTAGGCGCTGCGATGAGGCGGAGCAACAGCGGCTCGCGGTGGTCTGCTCGCGGAGGTCTGAACTCCGTTGGACATGACTCGCTGGTTGCCTGATGTGGGCTTGCGGGTCTGGTTCTTCGCGAGATGGGTCACAGGCGGTGGTGGTCAGGTTTTCTCGCGAGAAAAGGATCAGCGGCGAGGGTATCAGATTTTTGCGAGAGAAGGAGAAGGGATCGGTGAGAGATTTTGGGAAAAACAGATTTGACGAAAAGATCACAAAAGCTGCGCGTGATGAGTTAATGAGAAAGGGACGATCACTTAAATGAGTGAGTTTAGGGTTGGAAGTCTTTTCTCACAAGAGATAACATCACACACGCTCAACAACATGAGAGGGCCGAATTTTTGGGCCATTGGGCCGGTTTTGGCTCGCGGGCCGGTCGATTGGGCTGGTTCGCGACAATGAAATCGGCTCACGGGCCAGTTCAAAAAAATAAATCGGCTCACGGGCTCGATTTCGGTTCAAACGAATATTCTCGAGCCCAACCTTTGGTACAAACGCACGATAAAAATAAATCGAACAATATATATTTTACATATATATATATTAATACACAATATTCACATTTGATAATTTAATAAATCACGAAAATCAATTAAACAATTAGACATTTAGCATTTAATTCAAGAAAAATAAATATAAATATTATCACAAAAATAATAATAACAATAATAATAACAATAAAAATAATAATAATATTCTCAAATAATCTACAATTAAATGGGGCATTACAGCAAGCCATGGAAGTGGGCTGCCCATGTTCTGCGTTCTGCTGTCCTCTGGTCGTTGCTGGTAAGAAGAAGCACTTAAAGGATTAGAACTTACTCAAACTTATTCTAGAGTTCAAAAACCTAACTAGAGTTCGCATTTAACTAGAGTTTTCAAGTCTTTCTCGGAGGGTAAGTCCTTATATTCCCCAAACAAATATGCTCATGCTAAAAAAAATACTTAACTCATACAACTGACCTTGGAGATGGCGCTACACAAAGGTGCCGAGTTGTCAACTTTCAAAAAATTTTCTATCTTGCAAAATTTTTCAAGTATACAGATCCGCTAACCAGCTTTGGTACCAACATGTAAGTATCATCTACTTATATTTAGGAAAATGCTGATTTTTACCAGAATAATTTTGACTTTTTCGAAAACACTTTAACTCTTAAAAACTTTCTTAGGGTACTTACTTAAAATTCTTTCCTATCTTTGTTGAAAACTTATTTTCTCTTTGTTGTACTTAACTACTTTCCTCTTTTGAAACTTAAGTCGCTAACTAAAGTATTTATAGGAATGCTATTCCTATCTGCTGACCTTGCTGCTTTTTGAACTATTTAAACACACCCTTTCATGCATAGTTGAGACGTTTGGAAAAACAACTAAACGGTGTCTCTAACCGAGTTCTCAAAACAAGTTATAAAAGCATTTAAAAACTTGAATCTTAAGAGTTTGAGCGGAAGCACAAACAATCAAAAGCACAACCTGACCACCA